GCCCCGGCGGACTGGACCCGGACCGACCCCAGGAATGACCCCGGACTGACCCCGGACTGACCCCGGACTGACCCCGGACTGACCCCGGACTGGCCCCGGACTGACCCCGGACTGACCCCGGACTGACCCCGGACTGGCCCCGGACTGACCCCGGACTGACCTGACCCCGGACTGACCCCGGACTGACCCCGGACTGACCCCGAACTGACCCCGGACTGACCCCGGACTGACCCCGGACTGACCCCGGACCGACCAGGGACTGACCCCGGACCGACCTACCCCTAACTGACCCCGGACCGACTTCGGACCCTGGAGTGACCTCGGACTGACCCGGGTCTGACCCCAGACATACAGAACGTTGTGTTTAGTATTCGAGTCCCGGCTCGGTAAAACTAGACTCGGTGAAAATAGATCTCGGCTAAACTAGGTCGCAATCTGATATCTAATTTAAACGAGTGGAGAGTATTCTTCTTCTCCTCCTCCTCCTCCTCCTCCTCCTCCTCCTCCTCCTCCTCCTCCTCCCCCTCCTCCTCCACCTCCTCCTGCGGCCGGCCCCGCCCCCCAAGGGCCGGACGCGCTGGCGGACATGGGGCGCCCAGGCAGCGTCTCGCCGGCCAGTGGGGCCCTGCAGCCGCGAGGACGGGGGGGGGCATCGGGGATCCGCCACGGTGCCCGCGGCAGGTTGGGGCGTGGAAGAATGCCCGGGGCGTGCACAACCCACTCTGCGTTCAGCAGGCAGGCGCCTGCACAACCCCTACTCCAGGGGGGGGGGGGCCTGGGGGGCGGTGGCGCCTCCCTGCGGCTCTCCAAGGGGCCCATGACGTCCCAAGACGAAGAGGCCCCCCAAGACGGCCCAGGAGGCCTCGGGGAGAATTCACGGAATCTGCATCCCTCCGCGAGATCAGACGCAACTTTTTCTCCAAACCCCCTCCGCACCCCCTCTCACGGATTCCAAGCTTCGGCGACGCGCGCAACGCGGCCCGCCGTGTCCGAAGAGAAGTGTAGGCCGCCAGTCTCGACGCGAACGCTGAAATTTGGGGGTCCGGAGGCGCCATCACGCCACGGAACAAAGACTTGTGCTCGATTTCGCGGAGGGCTGCAGGCCACCGGCCTGCGCGCACCGCGCCCCACGGTGCGCGACGCACGCTTCCCTTCGCACGTGCGCGTCCTCGCGCCGCCCCCGGTGGAGAAGGGCAACCGCTCCGGTCCGGGCCGCGACGCGAGAAGCACGGCTGTCCTCGCGCCCCCGCCGGTGACCTGGGCACCGGGGGCGGACTCACAGAAGTCATCCTGGCGGGACTCCCCGGTGCAAGCCCAGACCCTACCACTTGAGGGGGGAGTTGAGGGGGGGGGGCGGGCCGGGGAGGGGGGCGTCGAGGAAGCGGGGGGCGATCAAGGACCCGGGGGGGCGATCGAGGACCTGGGATCCTGGGCTCGGAGACGAGGAGGGGGGGCCGAGGATTGGGGAGGAGGGTCGAGGTCGAGGTCGAGGAGGAGGAGGAGGAGGAGGAGGAGGAGGAGGATCGAGGATCAAGGTCGTTCCTCGGGGGGGGGAGGGGGGGGGACGGGGGGGCGAGGCGAAGCTGCACCGGCGGACGGAGGGCAGGGGGGGGGGGCAGCAGCAGCAGCAGCAGCAGCAGCAGCAGCAGCAGCAGCAGCAGCAACAGCTGCGGCCCCGGGAGGAGGGGGGAGGCAGTGAAGCGGGGGAGCACCGTGGCCAGGAGGAGGAGGAACAGGGCAGGGGATAGGGAGGAGGAGGAGGAGGAGGAGGAGGTGGAGGAGGAGGAGCAGGAGGAGGAGGAGGAGGACGAGGAGGAGGACGAGGTGGAGACAAGAGGAGGGGGAGAAGAAGGAGGAGGGGGAGAAGAAGGATTACCCAAGGATTACCTCAAGCCGACTGTGTCGGGAAAGCTACCTCTGCCACTTCAGCGGGATTTCAGCTGAGCGGCCGCTCTTCGGAGAGACGCTGGATGGCCCGAGGAGGAGGAGGAGGAGGAGGAGGACGAGGAGGAGGAGGTGGAGGAGGAGGAGCAGGAGGAGGAGGAGGAGGAGGACGAGGAGGAGGACGAGGAGGAGGACAAGGAGGAGGGGGAGAAGAAGGAGGAGGGGGAGAAGAAGGATTACCCAAGGATTACCTCAAGCCGACTGTGTCGGGAAAGCTACCTCTGCCACTTCAGCGGGATTTCAGCTGAGCGGCCGCTCTTCGGAGAGACGCTGGATGGCACGAGGAGGAGGAGGAGGAGGAGGAGGAGGAGGAGGAGGAGGAGGAGGCCGAGGCTCGGGATTTGGGGCGCGCCCGGCCCTTCTGCGAGCTTCCGGGGGCCTTCGGGGGCGAGGTGGGGCAGGAGGAGAGGGTCACGGCAAGGAGAAGGGAGGACACAGAACAGAGGAGTGGTGCGGAGGAAAGTGGAATAGAAAAAGAAGAGGATGGTAAAAACAAAGAGGAAGGGGAAGACAAAGAGGATGCGGAAGAGGAGAAGGAAACAGAAGATGGAAAATAAAAATGATAGAATGAAGAGGGAAAGGACAACGATGAGGAGGAGGAAGAGGTGGGAACATGACAATTATATGGAAAAGGATAACGCGGAGGGAGGACGAGTAAAATGATGAGTAGGAGAAAGAGGGAGAGGAAGAGGACAAGGACACATAATAAGACTAGTAATAATAACAATACGAATGGTAAGAATCATGATAACAAAAAATACCAATAAGAGGAAACATCAGGAGAAGGGAAATAGTCCTCCCTCCTCCTCCTCCTCCTCCTCCTCCTTATCCTCGTCCTCTTCCTCCTCCTCCTCCTCCTCCTCCTCCTCCTCCTCCTCCTCCTCCTCCTCCTCCTCCTCTCGCGGTCTCTGGAGGACTCCAGATGCCTTCGGAGGCCCAAAAGGAAAGAGAAGCATACAAATAAACTCGACCCTCGATCAACCTCCTCCCTCCTCCAAGCTTTACTCGCTAGCAATGTCGAGCCACATTGCTTGCACATCTCCTGGAGGGGTACGCAAGCGTGTGGAGTAGCTGTTCACTTGGACACAATCCTCTTGCGCCTTGACCCCTCCTCCTCCTCCTCCTCCTCCTCCTTCTCCTCCTCCTCCTCCTCCTCCTCCTCCTCCTTCTCCTCCTCCTCCTCCTCCTTTTGCTCCTGCTCCTGCTCCTACTCTTGCTCCTGCTACTGCTCCTGCTCCTGCTCCTGCTCCTCCTCCTCCTCCTCCTCCTCCTCCTCCTCCTCCTCCTCCTCTTTCTCCTCCTCCTCTCCGAGGAGCTCCAGAAATCCTCGACTGTCCCCCGAGGTCCGGCATTTTGACGCCGAAAAGGGGCTAGAAGAGTCCAACTCCTCCTCCTCCTCCTCCTCCTCCTCCTTCTCCAGGGAGAGGAGGATAAGGAGGAGTGGGAGCAGGGGGGAGGGGGAGGAGGAAGAGGAGGAGGAGGGCTTCACTTCGAACAACTCTCGCGCGTTCGAGAAAACTGGCGGCGCAACGCGCTCCCAACGAGTCAGGAATGGATCAGGCGCCATCAACCTCGGCGATGTGGCAGCACAGGTCCACGAGGCGGTTAGAGTAGCCCCACTCGTTGTCGTACCAGGACACCAGCTTGACGAAGGTGTCACTCAAAGAGATGCCGGCGCTGACGTCGAAGATGGAGGACGACTTGCAGCTCACGAAGTCAGTCGACACAACCTCCTCGTCGGTCCAGTCTAGGACTCCCTTCATCGTGCCCGCGGCCGCCTCCTTCGCAACCGCCACGATCTCGTCGTACTTCGCGCCCCTCTCCAGGCGGCACGTCAAGTTCACGACCGACACGTCCGGGGTGGGCACGCGGAAGGCCATGCCCGTAAGCTTGCCGTTCACAGCGGGGAGGCACTTTCCGACGGCCTTGGCGGCGCCTGTGGAGGACGGGATGATGTTCTGGGAGGCGCAGCGGGCGCCACGCCAGCCCTTGCCGCCACGGGACGGGCCGTCCACCGTGAGCTGCGTTGCCGTCATAGCGTGCACCGTGGTCATGAGACCCTCCACGATGCCAAACTTCTCGTGCACCACTTTGGTCAATGGGGCCAGGCAGTTCGTGGTGCAAGACGCGTTCGACACCACGGTGTCCGAGGCCTTATACTCGGTGTGGTTCACACCGACGACGTAGATGGGCGTCCTTGGGAGGAGCAGAGGTAATTACATACCTTCTTGGCACCACCCTTGATGTGCAGCTCAGCCTTCTCTTGGGCAGTGAAGACGCCGGTGGACTCGCAGATGTAGCTGGCGCCCGCTGCACCCCACGGGATGAACGACGGGTCCTTCTCGTGGAGCACCGCAGTGTCCTTGCCGTCCACGATCAGGAACTCCTTGCCGTCAGCCACCTTCGTGGCGATGGTGCCCGGGTAGCGCTTGCGCACGGAGTCGTGCATACAGTAAGCATGTAGACCATGTACTCGAGGTCCATGAAGGGGTCGTTGATTGCCTTCAGCTGCACCTCAGGGTTGCCGAGCGCTGCGCGGCAGACCAGGCGACCGATGCGACCAAAGCCGTTGATTCCCATCGCGGCCGGCATGGCTTTCAAGAAGCACGCACGGCCGAGGGCAAGATGATGTCAAACTCTGCGCCAGAACAATCCACAGTTTGGGCCAAAACGCCTCTGGAGGAAGACGAGGAGGAATGCGACTCTGCACCCCCAGGGATGGGAGGATATCTTAGCATATCCCTCCCCTGTGGGTGCCCTCCACGCACGCGCTACCGACATGTAGATGCCGACAATATCCGCCACTGTGCCTGCGGTACGTTGAGGCGTGGAAGAATGCCAAGGGCTGCCTGGCAAGGCTTCTGTAGTCTTCTAAGGGGCCCCCCCTCTCGGGGGGTCCCTGAGCGGCCATGTCGCCTCCATGGGGCTCCCCACGGCTTCCATGACAGCCCAGGAGGTCCCCAAGACGGTTCCAGAGGGCCCCGAGTCGCCGAAAGATCGCTCGAAGACGCCCAAGATAGCCTCAAGATGGCCCAAGAGGCGTCCAGGACGCTCCAAGAGGCCTCCTGAGAGGGCCCCAGGAGGCAAACTTGAGTAAGTGTCCGAAGGTTTTTGAAGGCGTTGGGCGTTCTCGCCTGTTCGGCTTGCCGACGCTCAAAGGCGGCCCAAAAGGCCCCCAAGACCACCCCACAACTGCCCAAGAGGCCTCCAAGACGGCCCCAAGACGGCCCAGGAGCGCCCCAAGACGGCCCAAGAGGCGCTCAAGACGGCCCAAAAGAGCCCCAAGACGGCCGCAAAAGGGGCCCAAGAGAGGGAACACGAGTCGAAAATCCGAGCCTTCCGCCCCAAGAAGCCCCCAGGAGGCCCGTAGAGGCGCCCAAGAGGCCCCAAGAGGCCCCCAAGAGGCCCCCCAAAGACCCCCAGAGGCCCCTACGAGGCCCCAAAGAGGTCCCGAGAGGCCCCAAAACGGCCCCCAAGAGGCTTCAAACTGCTTCCAAGAAGCCCCCGAGAGGCCTCCCACGAGATCCCAACGAGCATCCAATACGCTTCATACCAACAACTCAGGCACGGTGGCGGGACTTGCCGTAGGCAGCTGGATTGCTTTAGCCCCACCCCCAATGACAAAGACCGCTGGGGGGGGGGCATTGTGTTAGCCCATCCCCAGTGGATATGACCGCTGGGGGAGGGGGGGGGGGCGGAAGGGCAGCGCCACTGCGGCGCCCACGCCCGTACCCTTCAGGCCCTGGAAGGAGGAGCGCGGAGGAGGAGGAGCGGTTCGCAGCGATGCTGGCGGCGTGTGGGGGCCTCCAGAACACCTTCCGGGGGCCTCTGGAGGTCTCCGGGGCCCCCCGTGCAGACCCTCGCGCGCGCCCCGCCGGGCCACCGGGGGAGGAGGGCAGGCAAAGGCAGGGGCCACTCGGAGGAAGCTGGTGGAAGCAGCACGTGCTGCGCCCTGCCGCGCACCACACCGCCCGGGCGTCCAGAGCTCTGCAGCCAGCAGGCATGGGCCCTCAGAGCGGGGAGCCATCGCTGCTCGAAGCAGGACGGCACCCAGAGTGGAGCGAGCTCCGAGGGACGAGGAGGCAGCCTGGTCGCAACGGGCGGCCTTTACACAGGCCCTCGGCACGGAGATTGGGACTTTCCTGATGTTGCACTATCGGCCCCTCGCCTGGGTCTCCGAACGTCGACGGGGGCCTCCAGACTCCGGGGCCTCCACACTCTGGGGGCCGCTGGAGATCTCCCCGGAGACCTCTGGGCGTCATCGATCCTCTCCGATCGTTGGACCCAGACCTATGTAGGCAAACGAACTCTATACACCGACGCTTTTCCCGACCCTGCGCCGAAATTCGCACAGGAACGCGGACTCTGGTGTCTACGGGATCCTGGTGTATACATTTTGTCGCTGCTTCCCCTGGGAAAACGGAGGAAAAAGTATACACCACACCACCCCGGCGTTGTCTCTGACCCTTAGAAAGCCGTGGGATTGAAAAACAGCCCGCCACCGGTAGTGTACTCCAGATTTCGTAATAAAAGGGAGGGGGTCTCATTTCGGGGGGTGGTCTCTTCCAGGCCATCTTGGAGGGCCTGGGGGGGTCTGGGGGCGATGTTTTGGAGGGTTCTCCCACGGGGGAGGTCTGAAATGGCTTGTCTTGGAGGGTCCAGACCCCCTACCTTTTATTACGAAATCTGGAGTACACCACACCACCCCGACGTTGTCCCTGACCCTTAGAAAGTCGTGGGATTGAAAAACAACCCGCCGCTGGTAGTGTATATGTTCCAGGCTGCGACTCTGGGCGCCTTGACAAAAAACGTCGAGACCGCCAGCTCCTCCACGAGTGCGGCGCCCAGAGGCGCCAGCTTCGAGCGGCAGCGGCCGTGGGAAATCGATCCGCGACGAAAACTAAACCGCGTGCTGCATCTTCGAAAAAACATCGTCCGTCCCGTCGCGCCGCGATCCACGCCGCATCCGTGTCAAATCCGCGTCGAGCGAAAATCGGATCCGCGTCGTAGCCGTGCCGAACCCTCGCCAAGTTCCGCGTCGAGGCCACGTCGGAGTTCTAAGAGAAGACGGCCGCTTACAGGACAGGAAGGGCCCCCGAAGATGCGAAGTGAGAAACCTGGCCCCAGGGGAGGGGGTCGAGAGGCCCGGGGGGCCGCGCCGTCAGCAGAGGACACGATGCCAGAGCGTGGGGACCGTAGAAAGCCCAGACCTCCAGGCGTCGCCCGGCCAACACGAGTGCCAGTCTTTCGGGCGGGTGGTAATGGGGGGTGGCCCAAATGGGGGGCGAAGAAAGGGCCCCCCAATGAAATTACCACCCGCCCGTCTTTCTCAAGCCTGGGCTTCCGGCGACGGCGGCGGCGGCGGCGACGACGGCGGCGGCGGCGGCGGCGACGGCGACGACGACGACGACGACGACGACGACGACGACGACGACGACAGCGACGACGACGAGGACGACAGCGGCGACAGCGACGGCGACGGCGGCGACGCTCCCCTCCGACCCTGCCAGCCCCGAGTGCCTCCTGGAGCCAGCTCCGGCGGCCGAGCTGGCGGCAGCTCTGTCCGGGTGGCTGGCGCACGCGCCCCCTGTGGCCAGTCGGGGCCGGAGGGGCCGGTCGTGGGCCTCCTCCTCCTCCTGCTCCTCGCCAGGAGGTGGAGGGGACGAGGAGGAGGCAACTGCGGCAAGGAGTCAGAGGATGAGAGGGAGGGGAGGGTCGTGAATAGATACGGCGGGAGGCTGTGGGAAATCTTTGGTTCTGGTCCGTGGCCATTTTGGCTCAAGGCCCCTGTCTGCCCCAGACAGGAAACTGATACCGCTAATCCGCGACAGTGCCAGAGCTTTGTGTTCGACAAGTCTTCAGCCTGTACCGCAGGGGCTCCTGGCGGCCCATTCCATTTCTCGAAAGGCTCCCTGTATGCATGGCGCCCAATGGTAATCGAATGTCTCCGACGCCGCCGTGGGCCAAGCGGCAGGGTTCTAACAACTACGCGGCCATGTGGGAACGAAATATCTACTCACCCCTACCTGGACAGCACCAGCAAGAGGGCTGGAGGGGATACAACCCGTGCATGGCCCACAAATGGAAGAAAACGAATCGCCCTATGGTGGAGTGTCGGGAGCAAGGAGTTCGACGTGTCAGTGCGGTGCAACATTCCGATCTCATTCGCAACATGATTATTTTTGGCGTTCTGCTCACGCTTCTGCTCAGGCTACCCCGGCAAGCTGATCCAGGCCTGGCTGCCCAGCTAGCAACCGATGGCAACGCAGATGCAGAGACAATGCGGGCTGCAGATGGACTGGCCCAAGCCATGCAGAAGCCGGACCCAACAGCCAGACCCACGCCACATGGGTGTAAGGGTTGCAGCGAGCCGCAGCCCGCTTGGCGCGAGGACGCAAGGCGCTTGACCAGTCCAAACAGCAGGGGATCCGAGACAATGTTTGGTCTGCGGGGCGAGAGCGAACCTCTTCCGGTAAAAGCTGGGCAAGGGGATCCGAGATAGGCGAGAGCACGATCACTGCGAGGGCAAGCTGCGGAGGGGCACGGCGGAAGCTGTGGCGGCGGAGAGAAGAGAACATCGAGCATGAAGGGGCCCGAGGACACACACAGATGAATACACACAGATACGATAATCCCCATAGGTTCTCATACTTTCTGGGCTTTTGTCTTCCCTCCACTTCCCATGTTTTCCCATATTTTCTGGGGAATCGAGGATTCATTGTGTCTGTGTGTTTCTTCCCCTCCTGAGAGCGGGCGCGCCGAGCTCTGCCACGCGTCGGGCAGCAGCCTCTCGCCAGGGGGAGCCGTGCCCAGCACCCGGCGAGCGATGGACAGACAGCTGGACCTGTCGGATCGGGCGAAAGGGGGGGATAGCAAAGGGGGGGGGTGAGAATCAGCTCACGTAGCTGATTTTCCCGGCTTCTGGCGCCGGAGGCGGCTATGCATCGAGGAATGGACCCCTCCGTGGGGCCGGAACCAGCTGCATGCAGCAAATTTCGTACCCCCCCCCCCTTTCCCAATCCCCCCTTTCGTCCGGCCCGAACCTGGAAGCTTCCTCTTGGATGGCCCTCGCGGAGCTGAGCCTGGAGGCGCCAGGCCACGACGTGCTCCGGGAAGCCAGGCCCGATCTGCAGGGCGTGCTCCAAGAAGAGGCCGTCCAGGAGAGAGAGAGAGAGAGAGAGACCCCCGGGGCCGCCGGGGCCCGGCTGCAGGAGCACGGAGCCAGAGGGGCCGCCGCCGCGGAGCGCCCCGAGGAGCAGCGGCCAGCGGAGGACGGTGCGGCCCGCAGGCGGGAGCCGGGCCAGCGGCCCGGGGCGGGCGCCGCCGCCGGCAGCGGGAGGTGGGGCGCTGGGTGCAGCTGGCCAGCATCGGCGGGCAGGCCCCGCCCTCTCGAGTTGCCGCGACCGTGTCGGCGGGCGCGGTCAGTGGCGCTGCGGCCGGAGGAATGCAGGCGAGGCGTCCAACCTCGGACGACATCCAGGAGCTGTACACGAGGAGCCTGTCGGGATGCGGACTGACCAGAAACAAATCTGAATTTAAAAAAACTCTGCGACATCGCCACCCAGCCAGAGTGGCATGCCTCAGTGGAGGAACGCACAGGTGTCTTGCATGACTGGAGTTGGTCAGGATACCGACCAGTGCTCTCACAATCGTGCGAGGCAAGGTGCCAGTTTCGCAGCTTTCGGCGTCGTGCGACGAGGCCAGAACAGCAACTGGATCTTCAACAGATCGATAAACCAACGACAACAGTGAATGGCATAGATGTCCGAGATGTCGTGGACAGTCAGATCAAAATTGGTGGTCAGCCGATTCCCTTGTCCCGAAGTATGTGTCACCGGTGGTGCGGGGCTCCACAAGATAAGCGTGACCCAGTTGATTCAGACGGGGACGCTCCTACAATCGCTGCAGGCTCCGTGGAGGGCCTCTGGAGGCTTCAGCGCGACCCCGTCTCAGCTTCGGCAGGCGGGTCAGCCGGTCCTGGTGGCCGGCATGTTCAGAGCGGCCAGCGAAGCAGCTTAGACCTGCATGTCAGGGTCAAGGGAGGCCCATCGATGCCACGGTCAGCTCTCGCAGCATCCCAGAGGCGGGTGCTACCCGTGCCGCAGCGGTTATAGTGTCCACCGAGGCCGAACGCGAAACCTGACCCGAACAGCCAAAAATCAAAGCAGAGTTTCATTCGCGATGTTGCAGCGGCTGCCGAACATGGAGGTGGTCCCCCACCAGGGGCGCCGCACCAAGTCCAGGAAGCCGGCGAAATTCAAGATGGCACCACCTCTGCAGCACCTGGGAGCCAACGACTGGGGCATCGAGAAGGAGGATCCAGATGCTCTGGACGGCAAGAGTGAACCAGATGGACCTGATCTTGATAGCCTTGCTGGCAAGGGTGGGGACGAGCGAGCTGATGGCGTGCAAAAGGGGCCCACAACTGGACCGGTGCCCTATAGTAGGGTCCGGGCTGCGGGAAAACAAACTCCGCTCCTCCTTGAGACGCACCTGCTCCTCACTGCGCCAGCGGAGGCACGGGACGACCTTCAGGCCTCGTTGCCGGTGAACGTCGTGCCCTCGCAGACCCCTCTGCTCTGGACGCCCGAAATGCGTACGGAAAAAATGGGTACAATGCCCAGCAACAAATGTTTTCCCAAACCAACAGCGGCCGCTGTTGGGCAGGCGGCCTTCTGTCTCAAATGGACACAGGCCGCGGCGGCGCGAACAGCGAGTCCTGTTCGAAATGAGCAGGAACTGCTGTCGGGCATTGTACCCATTCTTTCTGTACCCATTTCGTTCGTTCCGATCTGCACATCATAGATTCCGTGGCCTTCCAGCTGGGCCCAGGAGCTTTTTGCTGGTGGAGCCCAGGGGCGCAGCAGCAGCAGGCAGCAGCCAGCGGCCTCGCGGGAGCGCGACACAGGGGCTGGCGGGCGGGCACCTCCCAGGGACGGGGGGGAAGAGGGCGAGGGAGGAGACGATGCCTCCGCCTGGGAGAAGAAAAGGAAAGCAAAAAGGAGAAAAACGACTTCGGGAGCGGATCCTGGACCAAACCCCCGCAGGCATCACCCTCATCCTCGGACGCGGGAGAGACCTCTCTGGGTCCTTGAATGTGTGGTCGAAGGCGAATGGGCCGAATGGAGTGGGCCTCAGGCCGCATCCCGCATCCAGAAGCTCAGCCCCGCTGCGCGGGTGACGACGACGCCACGGCTTACGCCAGGGTTCCCAGGCAACCGGCCCACGCGGGCAGCCCTCCGCGGCAATCTTGACCGAGCTCCTGGGCGTTGTGCTCACTGTAGGCACCGCACACGCTACAGAGCACGAAGGGGCCCACGGTCCGGACACGGTGGCCAGCACGAGACTTACACGGGGCAGCTTTCAGGATCAGGACGGCGCCGCCAGACCTCAGGCACCTGATGGAGGAGGAGGAGGAGGAGGAGGAGGAGGAGGAGGAGGAGGAGGGCGCCTGGTGCAACTGCAGCCGCCCCTGGGAAACCGGACAGGGCCGTGAGAGCCCCCCTCGGCAGGCGCAGCGGCCGTCGGACAGCCACGGGGCGGTCCGGCACCCCCTCCGCGGCCAGAGCTTCACGCCGAGAGGCGGACGCCACACCTGGTCCAGCAGCTCTGCTCCTCCTCCTCCTCCTCCTCCTCCCTCTTCCTCCTCCTCCTCCTCCTCCTCCTCCTCCTCCTCCTCCTCCTCCTGCGTAACATGCTCCTCCTCCTCCTCCTCCCCCTCCTCCTCCTCCTCCTCCTCCTCCTCCTGCTCCTGCTCCTCCTGCTCCTCCTGCTCCTTCTCTTCTTCCTAGTGTCCTGGCCAGGTCTTTGCCAACGCATTGCACCATCTGGCGGAAGCGCTCCGCACGCTCCTGGGCGACGGTGTCGACTGGATGCCTGCGGGCGCCAGCGCGGGCCGCCTCGTCGGCGGCTCGGTCGCCAAGGCGGCGCCATCTGGCGCCCTCGTCGAGGTCATCGTCGCAAACTCGCGCGGGACCCTTCGCCTTGATCACCCGCGCATCACCCCCCTAAGTCCCGCACGCGATCCCACGCCCCCTCCCACAGGTCAGCACAGGCCTGCATAGCACCTGTGGTCTCGGTGCGGCCTCTGCGAAAACTACTGACTACCCCATCGCAGTCAGTCATGCATTCATACGGGCCGAGGGAAACAGTATCACCAGTTGGGCCCAGAGGCTGCTTCGGAGGAAAGTGAGATTCTCAATGGGTGGACCACCAGGATCGAAACACCACTGCGCGCGAATCTGAGCGTCCACCCTAGGGCCCAGGGGAAGTGCACTGGCAGAGGCTCAGTGAAGGAGCTGAAGACGGGGCCCAGGGTCCAGGGAAACCACTTCGCTTTGTCCAGGGACCCGGTCGCCCGCTGATGGTCTACCGCTGAAGAATCGCAGCAGCCATCGCGTTCGGCGTCTGGGAGAGAGGCTAGGGGACGTGCCCGTCTTGGTATCAGCGTCGCTGCTGTTTCCCCTGTTTTCCAGGTTGCGTCCTAAGCGAACCAGAACCCTGAGGTCAGTCCTAGCTTCAACAGGCCAGTCGATCCAAAATGTAGGCTATCAAGCACGCCAGAACGCTGTGCGAGCCCAGAGGTCAGTGCCCAGTGCAGGTCTAGGCAAGTTTACGTTTTGGCCTTGCAACAGGACCGACTAGAAGCGCTGCACTGCGTCTGCGCTGCCTTTGTCACAGGTGCTCCAGGCGATGCGTCTTTGCATACTTGGCGCGCTGGCATTGTCCAGTGCATGCGTTGCACCAGCAAGCCATTGCTTGGCAAGTTGTCTGAATCGGGTTAAGCTTGTTAGAAACATCGAGGCTGCCCACTTGTCCATGGCCGCCAAGTCTAATATCATTTGGTCCAGCATAGCTGTAGCGATGCGGCTACAGCAGCTTGCTTGACGCAACTCGGTAGATATCAGGGTCGAGTTAGTTGCGGCTCGTCTTGGGATGGGAAAGGGCTTCCCGCCCCAAGCAAACATCGCGTGGGGCTTCCCCTACCAAGCGGCTCACGGAGCGTCCAACATCTTTCGAGGGGTAACCGGCTCTGTAGGCGGTGGGCCGAACTAATGGTGGTGACAGCAGCGTTCTCCAAGTCTAGGTAGTCGGACAAGGTCCATGGCGCTGCCCACCACATCGTCTCGAGGTGGCGCAGGGCGTCGGGCCGTCTGTCGGAGGAAGCCGCCGCGGGGGGAAGGCGCCTGACCCCTGTTCGTGTTCTGGGGCACGGTAGGGGAGGGCCAGCATTCCTCGCCATGTTGGATACCATCGAAGCGTGGCCCATGGTCCCCACTGACCCATAGCCCCATGCGAAGAGAGTTAGGAGAGTCTGGAGGCGACTGCTTCAGCGCATCCGCGACGAGTCCGAGGGGCAGAGGTAGACGGGAGTTGCGGCCCCCGCTGCCGCCGCTGCCGCCCCCCCGTTGGATCTGAGATGGCACCCCTGCTTACCTTGCGCGCGGGAAAGCGACGCAGGAGATAGGTTTGCAATTTCAGAGAGCAACTCGGGTCGAGGCAAGGAGACCTAGCTCAGCCAAGCGAGGCCCTTGCCTCTAATTGTGGGGAAAAAGAACGTTGGCGAGGAGCCCTTGGAACGGAACAGTCCCCAGATCTGTTCGCCTATGATAGGGGGCCAGATGCTCTCAGCGAAGAGAGGCGGGCATTCCCGGGCACGCCTCCTCGAAGCAGCGGCCACGGGCGAGAGTGGGGCGAGGAGCCGCCCTGCCGACCGTGGCCTCTCTCGGGGCAGCGCCCGAGAGATCGCTGCTGCGACGCCTCCGAGTCCGCTGTGCGCGGAGCTCGTGGCTGCCCTGAGCATGCGAAGCGCCGTGGGGTCTCGGAGTTCGTCGCCAGACGAGCACCTGCGAGAGCTGGCCTCACCCCCAGCGTTTGATCCCGAGGGCCGAGGCCCGAGTCCTGGACCGCCGTTATCCCCGGCCCGCCGACGAGGCCGACTGCCCAAGAGACTCGGCTGCGACCTCGGCGATGCCGCTGTTGGAGGTGTCATCTTCGGGAGCGGCCAAGAGGGGGGTGTCCAAGAGGGGGGGGTGCAAATCATGACCGGCGGCACGTGCGCGGCCCAGCGGGGGGGCCAGGGACGTAATGAAACAAGAAGAGGCGCCATGAAAGCTGGGGAGATATCATGGCCCACGCCATGATATCCACCCCCCCCTAGTCATCACCCCCCTCTTTTCCGCCCCCGATCATTTTCGGCGGACGTGATGCGAGCGGGGGCCGGGAAACCCAAATGTCCTGCTTTGAGGCCAGCTGCTTGGGCTTGGGCTGTCTTTCGGGGGCTTCAGGCGAGCGGGGGCAGCCGCGTCGAAGACATCCAGCAGGCCGTCGGCTTCGGGAATGCCCCAGGCGTCAGGCAGTCCGTCGACAGGGGAGAAGCGCTCAGTCTGCTCGAGTTTGCGAAAGCTGCATTCCCTGTTGCGAGTGCGCATTTTGGCCAGACTCGTCACGTGCCCTAAAACGCAGCGAGGGTTGAACCCAGAGTCGCATGTCGATGCGCGCAGCAGATGACGAAACCTCTTCGCATACCTCCCAGCCAGAGGTATCAAAGATGAGAGCCACAGAGACGACGTGATGCGCATGTTTTTACAACAAAGTTGCTGACAGCGTGGCCAACGCGTGGGCGGAGAAACTCAGGGTTCCAAGCCATGGTCGCGACAGCAGATCGCTCGCCTAAGCCATCGCGCATACACTATTTTGGCCCGCATCGAGGCTGACGGAGATATAGCCCCTCATAAATCAAACATCGAGCTGCTGCTCACCGCCCATACCCCAGTCTGGCGTGGGTCCAAGAGTCTGCTACAAAGCCTGCGGGGAATCAGCGCCCAAGTCATTGGCTGATAAGTTCCTCTGGACCCCTTGTCATCGGTGCTTGCTTGACGGGGTAGCGTGGATCCCTCGCGCGCCGGCTATCCACGGACACCTGCTGCACGAGTCCCACGCGCTTGGTTACCGCGAGAGGTGGGGGTGTAATGTTTGCTTCTGCTGGGGTTGTTTTTTCCACCTGGGCGGTTCGTCACCTCGGAAAGCCGTATGCCCGCTCCTCCTCCTCCTCCTCCTCCTCCTCCTCCTCCTCCTCATCCTCCTCCTCCTCCTCCTCCTCCTCCTCCTCCTGCTACTCCTCCTGCCCCTCCTCCTCCCCCTCCTCCACATCATCCTTCTTCTCCTGCCCTCCGACTCCCATTCTCCTCGTCCTCCTACTGCTCATTCCCCCCCCCTTCCTCCCCCTGCCTCTGCTCCCCCTCCTCATCCTCCGCCGCCTCCTCCTCCTGCTCCTCCTCCTGCTGCTCCACCGCGTCCTCCGCCTCCTCCTGCTGGTCCTCCTGCCCCTCCTCCCCCCCTCCTCGCCGTCGTCGTTTGCAGGGTCGGCGGCTCCGGCTGTAAGACCTTCACACTAGCTGGCGTGGCGATGCTCACCAACTGGAGCCGCAGTGCCCGGACCCAAACGGTTGCGGAGACAGCACAGACATGACAGGAGGCACAGGAAAACGCACTATGATATTTGAATGAGGAGGAGAAGCAGGGAAAGGATGCTGTTGATGCTGATGATGACGGTGATGCTGATGATCATGATGATGACGAGGATGATGACGATGTTGATGATAATGAGGTTTATGATGATGATGATGATGATGATGATGATGATGATGATGGTGATGATGATGATGTTGGCGATGATGCTGATGTTTCAGATAGTGGTGATGGTGATGATGGTGGTGATGACCATGATGATGATGATGCTGATGATGCTGATGATGATGATGGTGATGATGATTATGATGATGATGCTGTCGCTGATGCTAATGATGCTGGTGATGATGATTTTGGTGGTGGTGACGATGCTGAAGATGATGATGGTCATGATGATGGTGGTGATGGTGATGGTGATGACGCTGCTGATGGTAATGATGATGGTGATGGTTATGTTGATGATGTTGCTGGTGAGGATGCTGAAGACGATGGCGACGACACCGATTATAAGTGCTGGTAATGATGCTGCTGATTGTGATGCGCATGATCATCAGGTCGATGATGATGACGATAATGACGTCTTCTTCTCCTGACTGGGCAGCGGAGGGTATAACAACAACCCCATAGTAAGTCGATGTGTGATCGCTGTCGTAGCGATATCGCTCACAAGGGTGCTTCCAGAGAGCGTTAAAGTGCTCGCGGCTAAACTTGCTGCCATGAGACGAACGCGCGCAAGCCACCCTGGATTCACGTCACTGGCACACCCGTGGATAGATGGAAAAATAGAGGAAAGGCTATAACTTATAACAGACAAACGCTGTTGCACTTCTCTATTGGCTGGCCGACCCTGGCCCTGCTGCACATGCTGAGCCAGCGATGGCGATCGGAGGATGGCGACTAGGACTGTTCCAGGGCGACCAGACGGGGTCCTAGAGCCTAGCCCAGCTTGGTTTCGTTGAGACTGCACTTATGGCACCACGCGCTCTCTGGCCACCTAAAGCCGATGTCGCCAACGGCGGAGTGGTTTTCAAAGAGGGCGAAAAGGAGGACGTAGTACGTCTGATCCGACCACCTGTTCAGGTAGATGCGTCCGTCCTCGTTCAGCGCCTGTGCCAGGCTGCGGACTCGCTCGGACCTGAAGAAGTCCAGATCCCCCATGCCTGCGGGAATAGTAAGACACCGATACAGATACCCGACACTTCCCTGACCTCTCCTGGGGCGCTTCTGACCCTGGCTCCGAGGCAGATCCCGCCGTGGCGACGAGGGCCCCGCAGAATGCCCAGAAAGGTACCAATTAGGGAGAGGCATTGGTGTCGGTATGTTCTTCCCCCTGGAGCCTGCGTAGCCCACGTAGTTCACCGTCGCCCCCTCGGCCTTCCAGAAAGTGGGGTCCTGTGGTGACAGTCCGTGGGTCTGCTGGTACTCCTCGAACCACTCCCAGAGGCCCTCCGAGCAGAGTCTATTCGCGATCTCCTCTCGGGTGTTGCCAGAAAGATAGCCCCAGCCTGTCCAGGGAGCACCTCCGCCCCGGGGCCTTCGTGGGACGGCCCGCCAGAGGCCGGCACCTCCCCCGGCGGCCTCTCGCTGCGCAGGAATCAAAAATCACGACGGAAAGACTCTGTTCGCTTTCGCCGTCCGGGTGCCCTCACCGGGCCCCAGGACCGTCAACGGACAAGCGCGCTCCACTGCTCGCAAAGAAACTGGTCGCAAGTGGTTTGCATCCGCCGCCAGGGATCTACGATCCATTAACGAGCAGGCAGTAGGCACTCTGCGAGTGGGCACGGCACTCTGCGAGTAGTGGAACGCGCTCGGGGAATCAAAGAGAGCCTCAGGATGACGAGCCAGTCCTGGGGAAACGGCCAGACCACAGGGGAGCCACGTCGTGAAGATGATCCTGGCGAGTGGCCCGATCAGATACGGCTGCGAGTACCACGAGGCCTGTGGGACGAAGGAGGGAGGCCACGAAGCGTGTGAAGGGGGGTGCCAAAATAGGCACGGTGGCGCCCTGCGAACCCTCCAATTGGGCCTTCGGTGGAGCTCCCCTTAAAGGGTGCCCACAAGCACAGATGCGGGAGAGGAGGGGGATGATGATGCTGCTGCTGCGGCTGCTGCAGGTCATCGTGCGGATGATAATGATAAGTGTGATGATGATGGTGATGACGATGTTGCTAATGATGATGGTGATGCATGGTGATGGTGATGGTGATGATGATGATGATGATGATGATGTTGGTGGTGGTGGTAACGATGATGGTGGTAACGCTGTTGCTGGTAGTGATGGTGATGCTGGTGATGACAAGGATGACGATGAAGGTGGTGATGGTGATGAAGATGGTGATGATGATGGTAATGGTGACGGTGACGGTGACGGTGATGGTGATGGTTGAAGAGGATGGAGGTGATGGCAGTAATGATGATGATGCTGCTGATGATGATTGAGATGCTGATGGTGGTGGTAGTGATGATAGTGACAATGATGTTGGTGGTGATGATTATGGTGGCAATGATGATGGTGACGATGACGATGAAGATGATGATGCTACTGATGAGGATGATAACATTGAAAATCTGATTGTTGAGATGGTTGGTGATGGTGATAGGGATGGCGAGGATAATGTTGATGATGGTGGTGATGATGGTCATGGAGATGGTGGAGGTGATGATGATGGTGGTGATGTCGATGCTGATGCTGATGCTGAAGATGACGGTGATGGTGATGACGAGGATGATGAGGACGATGATGGTGGTCATGGTGATCATGCTGATGATGATGAGGACATGTGGAGGGCAGAGGCAGGGATGGGATGGGGGGGAGAATGAGAGGAGGAGGACGCGGGGAGCTCTCTCCCGAACGAACGAAGATGGCCCGGGAACAAAAAACACGACGTCGGACGCCCGGCCCTCCCGCGGGGAGGGCGGCGGCCGGCCTTCCGCCGTGTGATACCTGGCCGGGGGGCGGGCGCCGGCCCAGGGCACCCCCCCGCCGAAGCCAAGATTGGGCCGGGGCCGACCGTCCTGGCACTGCAATAGGACTACAGTCGGGGCGTTGACCTAAGGAACCCTAAATAAGGAACGAGGCCCCTTTGTTTCAATAAGTTAAACTTCGATTCCCCATCGAAAACCTAAGGACAACCTAAGGCAAGCTGCGAAACAAATAAGGAACACGGAGCCCCTCCCCAACGAAAAGGGTTCCTTGTTCAGCGCCCCGACTGTACCATGAAACTTTTCAGGGACTGAGCCAGGTCCGCGAGACATCGACACAGCTCTCAGAAACCAGAACGCCGACGCATCTATCAGGAAAAGGGCGCTCTCGGCCAGAAGCGTACCCAGGACGTGTCGTGCAAGTCTTGCAACACTGGTTGGCAGTCCGATTGGCAAGCCAGAACGCTTCGCCCCTGCTCTGCCAGAGGACCCTGGCGGCTCTGGCAACCTCCGATCCTTGCGTGTCTGCCACATGAACTTGCGTCCGGATCTCGCCATCATGCAGAACGGGTCCTCGCCGAGATCGCCCGTGAAGCTGAAATCCGCGTCTATGCGCAAATCCAGCGGCCCCTTTGCGGGCCAGCAAGCTGCGAGGCGGAGGTGCTCCTGTTCGCTGCGCAAGGGTCCAGTCGCCAGTATTATAGCTTCAGGCATCTGTTTCCATACAGTCGGACTTGATTCGAGAGGACACGCGAGAGGACACAAGACCCTTCCGAAGGCCACATCGCCATGGGACAGTAAGAAGGCACGCGTCGCGAGGCACAGGACACAAGGAGACCCTTGAGCTGGCAGGGTCGACCTACTGATCCGGGCCGCCTGTACTGGAAGAGTTCGGGAGAACCCTGACCCGAAAACCACACGCTCGCCAAGCCGGATTCACATCGTCAGAATTTCTGAGGGGGAGCTGGCACGCGTAGAATACTCGGGTTCGTGCTACCGAGGCCACACACACACCATCGCAAACTATCGCGGGATCGCGCTCCCGAGGCAACACCCCCTCTGAAGTTACAACGAAGCAGCGCTCCCGAATCCACATTCCCAGCCAAATTACACTGCACTCGCGCCCCCGAAGTGAAAATTACTACGCACTCGCGCCGCCGAGGTCACAATCCCTTGATGATGGCAGAATCGCGCAATCGAGGCCATAAACCGTAATAAGTGACTGCGCGTTCACATTCCCAGAAGCCGCAATCCATCCTAAGTAATCTTACTGTCGCACTCCTGAAGCCACAATCTCTCATGAATTACCGTGCGCTCGCGCTCCCGAAACCAAAATCTGTACTAAATCCCACCTATCCTGGCGGGCGCAGGCGGGTTGGGGCATTTTCTCTTCCGGCCCATTTCTTCCCTTTCGGGAAGGGGTCTATCACCGATCCGTATTAAAAGACACCCCCATCCCCCACCCGACCGGCGACAAAGCCCGGACCATGCCAATTCTGCCACGCCGTCCCTGTCAAATTAGCCTGGCGAGGGACTCAACTGTATGCAGGTGTGAGTACCGCGTTGTAGGTACCGCTTTCTGTGGAGCTCACTATGGGGCCACGAGACACGCGAGGGGTGTCATTGAATGGGTTTGGGGGGGACGCATGCGGCCGCGGACACTGGGGTCTTCGGTGGAGCTCCCTGTGGGACTACGAATCGCTGTGCTGGGCGAGAGGTGCGCGTGCGGCCGCGGCCACTCGGGCTTTCAGTGGAGCTTCCTGTAGGGCCGCCGATAGCTGTGCTGAACGAGAGGTGCGCGCGCGGTCGAGGCAACTGTGGCCTTCGGGGGCACGCAGGCGGCCGCGGCCACTGTTGCCTCAGGTGGAGCTCCCCATGGGGCCACGAAGCGTGTGAAGGGGTGTGCCGAAATGGGTGGCGGGGACGCATGTGGGCACCGCCTCTGGGGCCGTTGGTGGAGCTCCCTATGGGGCCGCGAAACGTGTGAAGGGTGTGCCGAAATGGGCGGCGGGGACGCATGTGGGCACCGCCTCTGGGGCCGTTGGTGGAGCTCCCTATGGGGCCGCGAAACGTGTGAAGGGTGTGCCGACATGGGTGGCGGGCACGCATGTCCGCGAAACGTGTGAGGAGTGTGCCGACATGGGTGGCGGGGACGCACGTGGGTACCGCCACTGGGGCCTTCGGTGGAGCTCCCCATGGGGCCACGAAACGTGTGAGGGGTGTGCCGAAATGGGTGGTGGGGACGCATGTGGGCACCGCCACTGGGGCTTTCGGTGGAGCTCCCTATGCGGCCGCGAAACGTGTGAGAGTGTGCCTACATGGGCGGGGACGCATGTGGGCACCGCCACTGGGGCCTTCGGTGGAGTTCCGCATGCGGCCGCGAAACGGGTGAGGAGTGTGCCGAAGTGGGTAGCGGGGACGCACGTGTGCACCGCCACCAGGGCCATCGGTGGCGCTCCCTATGGGGCCACGAAACGTGTGAGGGCGTGCTGGAATGAGTGGCGGGGGCGCATGTGGGCACGCCCACTGTGGCCGTTGGTGGAGCGCCCCATGGGGCTACGAAGCGTATAAGGGGTGTGCCGACATGGGTGGCGGGGACGCATGTGGGCACCGCCGCTGGTACCGTCGGTGGAGCTCCCTATGGGGCCGCGAATCGTGTGAAGGGTGTGCAGAAACGGGTGGCGGGGACGCATGTGGGCATCGCCACTGGGGCCTAAGTGCGAAGGGTGTGCCGAAATGGGTGGCGGGGACGCAGGTGGGCACCGCCACTGGTGCCTTCGGTGGAGCTCCCTATGTGGCCACGAAACGTGTGAGGGTGTGCCGGCATGGATGGCGGTGGCGCATGTGGGCACCGCCGCTGGGGCCGTCGGTGGAGCTACTTATAGGGCCGCGAAACGTGTGAAGGGGTGTGCCGACATGGGCGGGGACGCATGTGGGCACCGCCACTGGGGCCATCGGTGGAGCTCTCTATGGGGCCGCGAAACGTGTGAGGGTGTGCCATGGATGGAGGGGGCGCATGTGGGCACCGCCGCTGGGGCCGTTGGTGGAGCTCCCTATGGGGCCGCGAAACGTGTGAAGGGTGTGCCGACATGGGTGGCGGGGACACACGTGGGCACCGCCACTGGGGCCTTCGGTGGAGCTCCCTATGGGGCCACGAAGCGTGTGAAGGGTGTGCCGAAATGGGTGGCGCGGACGCAGGTGGGCACCGCCACTGGGGCCGTCGGTTGAGCTAACTTGGGGCCACGAAACGTGTGAAGGGGTGTGCCTACATGGGCGGGGATGCAGGTCTGCACCGCCGCTGGGACCGCCGGTGGAGCTCCCTATGCGGACGCGAAACGTGGGAGGGGTGTGCCGAAATGGGTGGCGGGGACGAACGTGGGCACCGCCACTGGTGCCTTCGGTGGAGCTCCCTGTGGGGCCACGAACATGTGAGAGGTGTGCCGAAACGCGATGCGAACCCTGTCACTGAGGCCTGCGGTGGGGTTCCCTATGGAGCCACGAAGCCCTATGATGATGACGGTGATGATGCTGATGATGATGATGATGATGATGATGATGATGATGATGATGATGTTGATGATGATGATGATGATGATGATGATGATGATGATGATGATGATGATGATGATGATGATGATGATGATAATGATGATGAAGACGATGATGATATGAGGAGGTGGGAGGGTGCAGCGAGAGGAGTGTGACGCGGGGCGCTGTCTCTTCAAAACGAGGACCCAACACCACAGGATGGTTGGGAACCATACAAAGTGCACTTTGCACCATAACCTGGACCATTCGCGGGCGCCCCGCGATCACTCTGCACTGCTTCGTGAACAGAGGCGGCGGGGGGTTCGGCATGCTGCCTGCTGCGCACAACGCCCACACCCCCAATCATCCCTTGCGAACAAAAATTGCAAGGGGCACGTTGCACCTAAACTTTTTTTGTATTGTTTCTGGCACGTTGCACCAAAGCTTGGACTGTGCGCAAACGCCCCGCGATCACTCCGCACGGGACTTTGGAAGGGGCAGCGGAGGGCCGGCACAGTGCCTGCTGTGTACACTGCCAACACGCCCCACAACCTCCTGCACAGGAATCATGGCATGTTGCCTGCTGCGTGGCATGCCAGCAACACCCAACCAACTCCTTTTCAAAGCATCCTGGCGAAGCACCCAACCATGTGCGAGTGTGCATGCCGTCGTTGTGAAGACCGCCTTCAGTGGATGCCCTCATGAGGCCTTAGGCGGGGTTGCCCGTGGGGCCACGAAACGTGGGAAACGTGCTAGGAGATGGGCGGGTGGGGGCACATGCGAACGGTGGCACTGGGACATTGTGTGGAGCTCCCTGTGGGGCCATGAACAGTGTGAGGGGCGTACCGACATCGGTGGGGGACCGAAAGCACACGTCGCCACTGGAGCCTTTGGTGGAGCCCCCCACGGGGGCACCCTAATGGATGGCGGGGACGCACGCGGAGGGCGCAGCTTAAGCCTTCGATGAAACTCTTTTGAGGGCCACGAAACGTGCGAGGGGCGTGCCAAGATGGGTGGCGGGGACGCATGCGGACGGCACCGCATGGGGCCTTGGGTGGAGCTCCCCATGGGGTAACGAAACGTGTGAGGGGTGTACCGGAAGTGGTTGCGGGGACGCATGCGAACGGCACCATTGGCGCCCTGAGTGGGGCTCCCTGTGGGGCCACGAAACGTGTAAGGTGTTTGCCGACATGACTGGCAGGGACGCACACGAACGGGGCACCATTGCGGCCTTCGGTGGAACTCCCTATGGGACCGCGAAACGTGCGAGGGGCGCGCCGACGTGGGTGGCGAGGACGCATGCGGGCGGTACCATTGGGGCCTTGGGCAGAGCTCGCTATGGGGCCACGAGACGCGTGAGGGGCGTGCCGAAATGGGTGGCGGGGGCAAGTGCTAGCGACATCATTTGGGCTCTAGGCGAGGCTCCCGATGGAGCCAAACAACGGTTGAGGGGTGTGCCGAAATGGCTGCGGGCGGCACAATTTGGGCATTGGGTGGCACTCCCTATGGGGCCACGAAACGTGTGAGGGGTGTGCCTGTTGCGGGGACGCATGCGAACGGCGCCATTGGCGCCTTGGGTGGGGTTCCCTGTGGGGCCACGAAACGTGTGAGGGGTGTGCCGACATGAATGGCTGGGGCGCATGCGAACGGCACCGTTGTGGCCTTTGGTGGAGTTCCCTATGGGACCACGAAAGGTGCGACGGGTGCGCCGAAATGGGGTGCGAGGACAAATGCGGGCAGTACCATTGGGGCCTTGGGTGGAGCTCCCTGCGGGGCCATGAACAGTTTGCGGTGTGTACCGAAATGGGTGGCGAGGACGCATGCGGGCGGCACCATGTGGGCCCTCGGCAAAGATCCTTGTGCGGCCACGAAACGTGTGAGGGGTGTGCCGAAATGGGTGGCGGGGACGCATGCGGATGGCACCGCCCGGGGTCTTCGGTGAAGCTCCCTATGGGGCCACGAAACGCGGGAGGCGTGTGCCGACATCGGTGGCGGGGACGCATGCGGGCGGCACCATTTGGAATGTGGGTGGGGCCACCGGTGAAACTCCTTGCGAGGCCACGAAACGTGTGAGGAGTGTGCCGACATGGGTGGCGGGGGTG